TTATTATTATTATTATTATTATTATTATTATTATTATTATTATTATTTATTATTATTATTATTATTATTATTATTATTATTATTATTATTATTATTATTATTATTATTTTCATTAAACATGAAACTCAGTCAACTGAACATTTAAAAATGTATCACAAATATTGACTGGCTCTGATGGTTGATATGGGTTGCTGCCTGCATCCTAGGTGGTGGTGGATATTATTATTATTATCATCAACAAATTTATTTGCTGCCTATACAACAATTCAAAGCAACTCTTTAGTAGCTTGAGTCCATCAATCAGTTCCACTCTCAGGAACATCTTTGTCAAGATTTCCTACGTTCATGGTATTTTTCATGCACTTACACAATCCATGCTATCAGGCATATGCTACATTATGTAAGCTACTCCTTTTTGTGTTATATTTGAGTTGCATGTGTGCCTGAGGCTTAAGTATCAGGCCACTTTACTGTTTCTTTACCTAAACAATAATGAATAATGTTGACAAAAAAATAAGATATTGTTTCTTCTACTTAAAGCTCGTCAAATAGTCATAGAATTGAGATTCTAAAATTTAGTAAATGATTACCAAGTTTATCAAGAACAAAGTTAAATATCCTAAGAAGAGGAAAGAGAAAGAGGAGATTGGGCAGGAGAAAATATCTTTCTGATATGTTAAAGTTGTAAGAATGTTATAATCTATGGCATGGTTTATTTATACTTTCTTGATCTTTCAGAGACAGACTGAGATGGAGAAGGTGTTCTGGGGAAAGTGGGAACCAACAGGATGATCCAACCAGGAAAATGAAAAGCAGAATGATCTGTAGCTGTCTCTTCTTTTTCAAATTTATCAACCAATGTCACCTCAACCTCTTTTTTATTCCACTTCTCCATATATGATGACCGTGTCCTATTTTTCAAATTCCTCTTCCTGTGGAAATGTAGCTTAGTTTTATCAACCTGTGGTTTGTGATTGGAGCAGCATCAGCATCAGCATCTCTGTGTGTAGGGTCAAAACAGGCAAGATGGTGGACAGAGCAGCACAATTGATGCCCTGACCCTTTCTATGTTTTTGCAACATCGAGGCATGAAATTAAGGGCTGGGGTTTGGGCTATGCACTGCCAACCTCACCATCTTGCCCATTTTTATTTCCTATGGAACCCTAACCCTATGGAAGCCAACTGATTCAATGTCTTTGTGTCAGCTTAGCTGCAAAATCTGAAACCCAGTGTCCCAAATTTACAAGAGGTTTGTCCTCTGCCAAAGAACTAGAAGTCCTTATGCGTACTTAGAGCAAAGTCGCTCATCATCCAATATGAGACTATTGATTGATTTTAAAAGCTTTATTTTAGCAATATAAGCACCTCGCTTTCACTCAATCACACAAACCACATGTTCCAAGAAGTATTTTTTGCTGTCAGCCAAGTGACAAAAAAGACAGAAGTTCAGGGAGAGTTCTTTGAGATGATCTTCAGTGGAGTGGAAGATGAGAATTCAGACTTCTTTCTTCAGCTCTCTTTTTATAGCTTTCACACTGTAAGATTCTTAACTGATTATTCCTCATCAATCTGCGGAGTCCTTCCATCTTAGTGGAGGTCATTAGGCTGTCTCTGTTTGTGCCCTTAGTATGACCATCTCATGGACTGCAAGAAACTTGCTGGAATGATGGATTCAAGAATTCCTTATCCCTTCACACCTTAGTGTACCTTGGAATCTCTCTGAATGTCTTATGTTTAGGCACGTAGAATCAGATGATACAATAAGTGCAATAATTCTACTTTTTAATGTCGGTCCATTAACATTTTATAATAAGGGTTGGGTTTCTTATGCTTGCAGATAAAATGACAGTTCATGCTTGTACCATGGCTTCTTTGGAACAGCAGAACTTCTTGAAATAACCATAAGGAATGTGAACCTTTCTGATATTTGATCCACTCTCTGTCTGTAGAGATTCCCAGTCATCCAGGTCATGGTTGTCCCAAAGGTGCTTTTTTTGGAGGCAACTGGACTTTTGTTTTTTTCTTTGAAGATGTTTTGCTTCTCATCCAAGAAGCTTCTTCAGCTCTGATAGGATAGTGGAGAATGCAAAGATTTATATTCCTTGCAGATAGCTGGTCATTTGCATCCTTTTTAGAGCAGGGGTCTTCAAACTTAACACCTTTAAGACTTGTGGATTTCAACTCCTAGAATTCCTTCTCCAGTCATGTTAGCTCAGGAATTCTGGGAGTTGAAGTCCACAAGTCTTAAACTTGCCAAGTTTGAAGACCCTTTTTTTAGAGGGTCATTGAAGCACTTGGAGGTTTATCTGTGTCCTCAGGGTCACCTGAGTAGTGCTTCTGGTTCCTATGGTCTGCAGTTCCCCCCCCCCCTTCAAGAACCCTCTAAAAGGATGCAAATAACAAGCTGTCTGCAAGGAATATAAATCCTTACATTCCCCACTATCCTGTCAGAGCTGAAGAAGCTTCTTGGATGAGAAGCAAAACGTCTTCAAAAGAAAAAGCAAAAGACTCCAGTTGCCTCCAGAAAAAGCACCTTTGGAACAATCCTCTCTGTGGTTGAAGTAAGAGCTCTGGATGCCAGATGTGCAAAGCTATCACAATGCAGGGCAGATGGATATGCAATACTGATTGTAGAGTTTAGCTTAAAAGTAGGGCAACTGGAATGGTAAGCTCCAGCCATTAAGATAAAAATCTTGGGATGAACAATGAGGTTTCTGTCTCTGCTAATCTTCCAAATCTTGTTCCCCTATGTAGGTGGAATTCTACATAGGTGTAATTCCTATGCAGGTTTGAAAATACTAATTTGTGTCTTGATTACATGCTTTCAAAATCATTTAAACATGTTATTTTGAAACTTCTGTTTCATGTGGCTGAGTACTCATTTTTGTGAGGAATGGGAAAAATGCCATTATGGGAGAAAAACTCTGAAATGTTTGTGATCTGAAGGCAGTCAACTCCCTCCAACTATGCAGTATGGTTAAAACAGTATTGGTCTATTTGGTAAATCTGTAGAAATACTGAAATGTGTGAAACTACACACATTTTATTTGAGATTAAATTAAAATCAGAATATGAACATAAATATTTGGGCCCAAGTCCTTGAGTGTTTTTTTTTCTCCATCACACAATGGGCTCCCTGTGAGAGGAGGCCATTATGTTTTAGATTATATAGAGCCACACATTCCTTGAATGGGAATTCATTTAGAAGAGCATTCATGATCACAACATAGTACAAAAGAAATCCTTCATATCATGGCTTAGTCTGTATGGGCAGTCCTCAATTTATGACTGGCCACATAATGACTGTTCAAAGCCATGATGCCCTTCACCAAAGATGACCTGGATTCTGACATCTGCCACCCCCACCCCCAGTCACATGATCATATTAGGTACTTGGCAACCAGCTGTTTGCAGTGTCCTGTTGTCACATGACTGTGATTTACATTTTTTTCCTCAGAAGTCAGGATTTTCTTCCAGTTTCTAGCAAAAAAAAAAAAGTCCCATAGTGAACAGTGGGTTTGCTTAATGACCATGTGACTGCTTATTTGGGAAAGAGGGAATAACTTACTGTTAATTAGGTGAAAACTGCAGGAACCTTTAGAGTCAATTTTCACCAGTCTGTGCCAATATGATATGTCCGCTAACCCTGTTTTTGAGGATCCTACTTGCTTCAGAGTTCTGCTTGCTATGGGCGTATTACTTGGGACCCTGACACTATGTGGATCTTTCCACTGGTTCCACAAACATTCTTCATTACCTCCTTTTGTCTCTCACTTTCTCTCCCATCTCTTCTGTCCTTTTCATTGTCCATGTTCCCTTTGCTACTCCCAAAGCTAGGATCTCATTTAAGTTTCTGAGCTTGGTCTCTCTTCCCACCTCGCAAATAAGTTTCCTTCATTCCTTCACGTGTGTCCGCGTACACACACACAGCCTGTCCTTTGGGGTAGGGTTAATGAAATATAAACTGAAGCCAGTAAACATGTCTAGGATGAGGATTTCTTCATCCTGTTTTTCCCCAAAATTTCTACCTACCTTTCCATATTAGAAGATCCTGCATTGGCTGTTTAGCCTCTTGCTTTAGCTCTTTCCAGAATAACAGAATTGGAAGGGACCTTAGAGGTCTTCTAGTCGACCCCCCTGCTCAACCCCTTGCTTTCCTGCAAACCACTGGGATGCCTCTGCACAGGTTTATGGATGACTGACAGTGTGCCTTGAAAGGCAGTGTGGGAGTGTCACTATCTTCATCAAGGTTTTTTCTCAGGCATTCTCCCTCCTCAAAAGTGCACTTAGTAAACCTGCAAACCCTAAATTTAGTTCCATATACAAAGCAAAATTAATAAAGTGTATCCAAGAAGGGATGAAAAGATTGTAAAACACTTTAATAAGGCTAAGAAACGTTTTGACCCTTAGAAATGTGCAAATATTTCTCAAAATCGGAGAAACGTGTTCACAGTCTCTTTTTCTGACTCCCTGTAGGGGTAGAACAAACCAATGATTGGCAAATTTTATCACCTGCTAGTGGCTTTGTTGATTAGATTTCATGATCTCAGTACATTTCTTTGACATTCAATCGTAGAAAAGTTACCAGCATTTTAATGTTCTTTCCGTAGAACAACTGTAACACGAGCCTCTTGTAACACCTGAAATGAGAGTTGAGCAAACTTGGAGAAGTGTGCTTTAGGGCAAGCAGGCACCGCACGGGGCTGGTGACATCCGAGATATGGATTCATTAGCAATCTTCCAGTATCTTTCTTTCAAGACGAAGGCAGCGGCTTTCGGTTGCCGTTGGCGAGTAAAAATCCCTTTCTTGTTACCCATGACGCGTGTCACCCCTGCAGACGGGAAAGGACACGACAAAGCAAACGGGTATAATTGAAATAGTAGATAAATCATACTTAGCTACAAACAAACCAGAATCAACACATCAGACTGGCCAGTCACCATAGTTTCTTAGGCCAGTTCCTGGTTTCTTTCCCTCACCATTTACTGCTCTTAAGGACTTGGTGAGGTACACAAATAAACTAGGAATAAGCCAGAAAAATTGGAAAGTCTGCATCCCCATGTCCAACTTGACTCAAAAACCCAGGCTTATAATTAATCACGATTAAAGGATTCACCCCATAAATGTGCCTCAAATGAGTCAGCAAACAAACTCTGCTGTATTTTTATCCCTGTTTCTCTGAAAAACATGTGTTTTTGTTGCCTGCTCAAGCACCACTTTTGAGCTGTTTTCAATGCTTGATTTTTAAAAAATCTGAAACCTGGTGGTGTCAGGAGGCTAATGCTCTCCACAGACCTATATTAGAGAAGTGTAGGGAGAAAAAACAACAGAAATAATAAGAGTCCCAGCTTGTTTTCTGTTGCAGAAATGGGTCTTAATGATAAGCTAGTTTTGGGTTCAGATAACAAACCATGCTTCAGGAAAGCTAACGTGCAAGTCTTGATTTGTTTGTTATTCAGGCATTTATTCCATTTAATACTTAACTTAAATCCAAGGTTTGCACGATATGGTAATCTGGCGCACCATATTGTGCAAACATGTAATGGTTGAGTTCGCACAACTTAGTGGAGTAGAATAAAATGGGGTTAAGTAGTGTGCAGTTGAGTAGGATATATGCTAAGGCATGTTTAGTATGTTGTCTTAGGCCAAAGGTGTCAAACTCGATTTCATTGAGGGTTGCATCAGGGTTGTGCTGACCTGGAGGGGGGGGTTGGGGGGGCCATGGCCAGGGTGGGTGTGGTCAGCTTGATGTCACTCGTCTTGGGGGGTACCTGCGGTGGCCAGAGCGCTTTGCCAGCAAAAATGAGCTCACGAGCTCTGTTTTCAGCCGGGGCAGCCTCCTGCAACCCTCTACCAGCGAAAACAGAGCTCGGGAGGGACGTGTGCAGCCCTCCTAAGCTCTGTTTTCACTGACAGAAGCACCGTGGGCCAGTCCTTCACTGTTTCCAGAGCAGCCCCATGAGCCAGATCTAAGCACTTTGCGGGCTGGATCCGGCCCGTGGACCTTGAGTTTGACACCCTGTCTTAGGCCATAATATGCTTTTCAGTTAGTGTGATGATAGGGCGGTAAAGCACAATTTCAAACCACAGCTTGGTATTGGCTTATTGATTGCCGTTTTGGCTTGGAGGTTGGGCTAACAAAATACATTGTTGTACTCAGTTAATAATATGCCCCGTGGAAAAAAAAAACTAGTGAGGCATGCCAGTTTAAAAAAATTCTGATTTACTTCTATAAAATGAACCAATAGATCTATATGGACCTTGTCTGCACATCACACTGAATCAAAAACTACAAAATGGCCCAGTGTGATGCATGTCCCCGACCAGCTCCAAACAAAAGTTGTAGTGTAGCAATGCAAGCTCCATCGTAAACAATAATTGCACCTCACATTCATATGTTTAGGAAGCAGCACAAAATATTTCACGACTGTTGAGTAGTGACTGGATTGGGGGCTTCTAAGCCTCCAAGTCAGAGGCTTACTGTATCGAACAGAATTGTTAAAATCTTGCCAATGACACTATAAACAAGTTATCATGGAATTATTTTTGCAAGTGGTTGAGATTTTAGTTTTTCCTGCCTCATCACCGGAATGCTTATGTAAATATTTCTGTTCCATCCCAAACATTCATTTTAATAAATCCAGCCCTAAGCATTTGGCAGGACAATGAGGCACATTTTGTCCAATAAGTCCCTACCTTGTTCTGTCATAAAATCGGCAAAATTCCAGATGAGCTCTCCAATCACGTACTCCTCCCTCATTTGGTCTAAGACAGCATGATACTCCTTAAGCACAGCTGCCTGGTATTCCTCAGAGAACATGAGAGGAGGGTCCTGCAGACACCAGAAAAGCAGGGAGGGGTGAGCATGAGTCTAACAAAATAAAAATGTGTATCCTTGAAGTAAATGGCAACAGCCCCATAAAGCTCCTAGAGAAATCTATGAGGATTTAGAAAAATAACTTAATACAACATGATTAACTGGATACCTGCATTTTTTCATTGTCTGCATTTGAATCATAGCAATAGCAATAGCACTTAGACTTCTATACCGCTTCACAGTGCTTCACAGCCCTCTCTAAGTGGTTTACATATTGCCCCCCGACAATCTGGGTCCTTGTTTTACTGATCTCAGAAGGATGAGTCAACCTTGAACCTGGTGAGATTTGAACTGCCAAATTGCAGTCAGCAGAAATAGCCTGCAGTAGTACATTCTAACCATACAATGGACTCTAAACTAATTCAAGGACTGGATGTGTACCACACCCTAGATCACAAAAAACAATAACCAAGCTTAGAATTTTGTTGTAAATGCAGTTGTTGTGCCTCTAGTTATGCACTGGTGAAAGTAGTGTGTGAACTTATCCAAGGATAACATTTAGCTCTATCCTTTGCTTAGCGCAAGATCTGTGATGCAAAATACAGATAAAATATCCTTGACAATGATGATCCAGTCTTTGTTAAAATATCCCCAGCAACAGAAAACACCTCCACATAAGTTTGTTTCACGTAAAACCTCTTATTGGTATTACATTTCTCCTATGATTAATCCAAACATGTATATATGTGTATTTTGTGTAAGAGTATATATGGTGTACGGATATAGCAATAGTACTTAGATGTATATACCGCTTCACAGTGCTTTACAGCCCTCTCTAAGCAGCTTACAGAGTCAGCCTATTGCCCCCAACAATCGGGGTCCTCATTTTACCGAACTCAGAAGGATGCAAGGCTGACTCAACCTTGCGCCGGTGAGAATTGAACTACCAAACTGCTGGCAGTTGGCAGTCAGCAGAATTAGCCTGCTATACTGCATTTTTACCACTGCGCCACCATGGCTTTTATAGACCCAGTTCCATTTGCCTTGGAAGAAACAGGAATTAATGTCCTTAGTATAGAAAAAGTCCTCTCTACATCATCTCCCTGCAAACTATTTTATAGTGCCAGGTAAGACTCACAGCATGAAAGCCGCTGATGGTGTCTGCTCCATATTCACTCTGAATGATGGGCCTTTGGTGGGTAGTGTACCAGTTCTCAAACTGTGTCTTCAGCTGCAACCGGATCACTTCCAGATGTCCTGCATCGTGGTACCAGGAGAAGTAGCTATTCACACAGATGACATCCACATAAGGTGCCTATAGGAATCTGAGGTTAGTTCAGACGGTGAAGGAGATCCCAGATCGAAATCAGATCTGGCCCATGGGCCTTGAGTTTGACACCCCTATTCTAAAGCAGTCCAACCCTCCTCAATACTTCACACAAGTCTGAGAAACAGGATCCTCTGCTTCAGGAGTCACTTTAAAGCAGATTCCTGAAAGCAGGCTCATCAGCGCCTGACTTTTCAACCTGCTTGTAGGGATAAGGAACGCTTCTATGCCCTACAGCACCTAATCTGGAATTCAGATAACAGATAATCAGAGTTGGAAGAGACCTTGTAGGTCATCTAGTCCAACCCCCTGCCCAAGCAGGAGACCCTACACCATTTCTGACGGATGGCAGTGCAATCTCTTCTTGAAGGTCTCAAGTGATGATGCTCCCACAATTTCCGAGGGCAAGCTGTTCCATTGGTTGAGTGTTCTCACTGTCAGAAAGCTTCTCCTTATTTCCAAGTTAAATCTCTCCTTGTTCAGTTTCCATCCATTATTCCTTGTCTGGCCCTACAGGTGCTTTAGAAAACAGCTTGACCCCTTCCTCTCTGGCAGCCCCTCAAATATTGGAAGACCGCTATCATGTCTCCCCTGGTCCTTCTCTTCACTAGACTAGCCAAGCCCAGTTCCTGCAACTATTCGTTGTATGTTTTAGCCTCCAGTCCCCTAATCATCCTGGTTGCTCTTCTCTGTACTTTTTTCTAGTCTCAATATCTTTTTTATAATGTGACCAAAACTGGATGCAATACTCTAGGTGTGGTCTTACTAAGGCTTTATTAGTATTAGTACTTCCCTTGACCTTGATTGTATCCCTCTGTTAATACAATTTAGGATTGAATTAGCTTTTTTGGCTGCTGCTGCACACTGCTGGCTCATATTTAGCCGGTTGTCCACTAAGACTCCAAGATCCCTCTCACAGTTACTGCTGTTAAGTTTGGTTTCACCCAGTCTATAGGTTCTTTTTCAGTTATTCAAGTGATCTTTCAACAATACAGGATCAAAGCTTCAGCTAGTCCTCTTTGCAATGAATGCTGAACAAGCTTGCAGGAAAGGCAGTCAGGAACCCTACCTATTAAGCTCAATCTCAGCCACGCAATACTTACCCCCTGATCTCGGAGGTAATTAGCATTTGAGACAAATGTCACAGGCCGGGTGGGGTCCAAAGCCTTGGTGTGGGCTATCACTGTCCTGCAGGGTGAAGATAAAATTCAAAAGGCCAGGATTATTTCTTTCCAGTGCAGTTCATTGCAATATTCTTTCCTCTAATAGGAAGAGAGGATCCTTCCAAAGATAGCAATAGCAATAGCACTTAAGAGTTATATACTGGTTCGTGGTCCACGAGAAAATTTTGTCATCTGCAGAGAAATGTCACCCCCACCCCCCCGCCAAAGCAATTAATCTAGGCTGCTCAAGAACACAAGGCTGCACCGCCCACATGGCCTGCTGGAACACAAGGCTTGCAAAAGTCTCTTTCTCTCCCCCAAATTCTGCCAGAAATGAGTCTTTGGACCCTGCAAGGCATTGTTGAAAGGTGTCAAAATGCCTTTCTTTCGAGGATTCGATTTTCCCACTGGGAGAGCTCCGGCGCAAGGATATGGACAACTGCTTGAAAGCTGGATCTTTTTATTTTTCAGGAAGGCGGAGAACAGCGAGAAGTCTGCGTTCCTGGGCTAGCTAGTTTCTTATGGTAAGTCCCTGGTTTTTTATACCCTTTTCTCCCTTTGTAAGTTAATTTTGTGTGAATGTTTGTATTTGTGCTTAATGTTTCAAATCCTGTTTGAGTTTGTCTTTATTCCCGCCGGAGGGCAAACTCTGCGGGGTGCGGAAGGCAAACTCCGCGGGGTGGCCAGATTGTATTATTGGTTTTCTCTAATCTCTTTTAGCTTTAAGATAGTTTTTCATATTTGTTCTGTGGCAATCTCCTGTCTGTCCCTTTTGTAATTATATTTTGTGTCTTTTGTCTGTTTGTTTTGCTTATTTGGTATGTCCTGTGTTTGTAAGGGTTTTCTAAATTATCTTTTTGTTTCCTTTTCTTATTTGTCTAGTTTTCTTAATTACTTAGGCTTTTGTCTATAGGGATTCTTTAATACTTTTTATTTGATTCCTTTTCCTATGTAAGTTTGTTTTCTGGCTGACCTGATGTTCCCCTTGGGCTTTTCCTGGCTTTTCCTGTTTTTGTGACACTACTGTCTTCGTGAAGTTCCCTTTCCACAGCATCCTGCTCTAAGAGGCTGTGCTGGTGCAACAAGTCTCACAAAGACTCATTTCTGGCGGAATTTGGAGGAGAGAAAGACTTCTGCTGCTGCTTCTGCTTTCCTTGCATGAAGCAAAAGTGTCTCTCCCCCTGAGAACAGAGCTGGAGGTGGTATCCTACGATCCCAAATAAAGAATAATTGATCGGCAGGAAAACAGGGTGGGGAATTTTCCTGCAGAGTTTTTTATTTTATTTTCCCAGGGTCTCTGGTCCATGGCATTTAAAAGTATGAGTTTGGTGGTCTCTGAGGTCCAAAATGTTGGCGACCCCTGCTCTAAGTGGTTTACAGAGTCAGCCTATTGCCCCAAACAATCTGGGAAGGATCGGAAGGATGGAAGGCTGAGTCAACCTTGAGCCAATGAGAATCGAACTGCTGGCAGTCGGCAGAATTAGCCTGCAATACTGCATTCTAACCCCTGCGCCACCACAGCTCTTGATATACTTTGCTAGGTGACTTGTTGAAAATTTCCACCAACTTTACATTCAGAATTACTATAAAGGGAAACATAGGTGGTCCTCTTGTAATGGAGCCCGCCCATTATGGCTGAAAGTTGTGATGGTTGTAAAGTGGTTCACCCATGTGACCTGTCTGATTTTACGACCTTGTTTGCAACAGTCAATTGTTCACGATGGTCTGGGTTTCCACAAACCAGAAATGTTAGATTATCTCTCCCCAATTGCCTCTACCTGTCCTCCCTGATCCAGCAGTCAATGAAGGCCGGAAGGAGAGCCTTTTCTGCTGTAATGGCCACTCATTGGATCTTCATTCCGCCCCCCCCACCCACACCCACCCAGGACATGTCCTTGTCCCTGGTGACTTGTAAGGCCTTGACAACTTGATTTTGTAACTGCTTGCTGGGGAATTCTAGGAGTTGTCAGATCTGGAATAATGTCAGGTTTCCAAGTGATAAAATCCATTTAAAAAGAAAAGAACAAAGTCCACCTTCCAAGACAATTTATTTAGGAAAGCATCAAATTGGCAAACCTAACATTATTCCGGATGTGACCCAACCCGGAATTACCCCACAATATTAGAAGTTAGAAACAACCCCCAAAAGTAACATTCTCCAATAGAAGTAATTCAACGTTGCTTGATGTCATAAATCTCCACCTCAAGGGACCTAAGCACGGACAGCTTGTTTCCCCACGGGAAGCAGAATCACCTAGCCTAAACAACTCTATCTCCACTCCTCCCCCTTTAGGAATGTGGCAAGCTCGAAACCCTTCCCCCATGACCGCCAAAGAGAAAGTAAGAAAAAGAATATATACTAAGCCTAACTAAAATGGCTACACATATGTCAATTGTGGGCTTGACACCAAACATCTTAAAATTGCCAAGGTTGAGAAAGGCTCTGTTCACACAGTGAAGATTAGCTTACTTTAAGCCACAAAAGAGCCCTCTATGTAGGTGACAGCCGGGTGTAGGATTACAGCTAACATCTCCTATTCCTACAATTGCAAATCCCACTTTTTGTGCGGGCTCATGTCCAGGTCCCAGAGCTCACAGTGCATTCTCATCTGGGCAGGTACTCACTTGAAGTAGTAAGCAGCCACAGGCAACTCCGAGGCTGGCTCATTGGCCACTGACCACATCACAACTGAGGGTCGGTTTTTGTCCCGCCGGATCAGCTCTTCCATCACAACAAGGTGGTGTTGCAGAGACTGGTTTCCAAAGTTCAGACTAAACAATGAGGCAAAGAGAGACCAAAGGAAAATAAATCCATTCAGGAGGGGAAAATGGACTACCTGGGTAAGGCTTGCTGTCATGAGAAACGCTCCCTCTGAAAGCAAACTTGGATTTAACAGCACTTCCAAGTTTTTAACAGGAATTGTAATAAGAGGATGGACAAGCCAAGGAATTATAAATCTGGTTTTCTGAGCATTTCCCAAATTTCCCATTCTCTAATTGAGAGTTCCTGAAATCCTTATCGAATCAGGCCTTATTAGGATTAGGAGAAAGTTGCAATATTTCAGCTTTTACAGAAACACTTTGTATTCCAAATATCTTTGGTGGTCCCCATTCACTTCTTCATTCTTTCTTGAAACAAATGAGGCAAGCCATCTTCAGATACACCACAGTCATGAAGAGAGTCATTATTCTCATAGAAGAGAATAATCATAGCTCAGGGTTGAACTGTGGAGTTCTTGGTGCTCTCTGAGCTTGGTGATTTTCTTGCAGACATTTCATGACCAAACTAGATATATGTAGCACTGATGGTGTTACCTAGTTTGGTCATGAAACGTCTACAAGAAAACCACCAAAGTCACAGAGTACCAAGGACCTCACCTACCCCAGTCCCACCAGCTGACGCCCAATGCCTAAAACCCATAGTGAGACACCTGCAATCCTCCAGCTCTCATCATTCTTGATCACTAGCCATACTGAACCACAAATTTCCCACCCCTGGCAACCTCTGTAGACTATTCACTTCTTAGGTTTCTGCGTCCTATCCTTGGGAACTCTGGTATATGGTTGTCCCTAATCCTGCACCCATATGTAGGTGTTTTCCCACTAAATTATCCAACCTGCTGTGGGCCATTCATTTAAATAAAAAGTTACGTTCAGCCATCTACAAAAAGAATTTCCCATTTCTGTCTTAGTATATTATATGATAGAAGACATAAGACATGGGCAGAGCAACCGTACCTCACCTGTCATGCATGCCCACTCCTGGGCTCTCGTCAATCACAACAATGCCATAAGCATCACAAAGCTCCATGATCTCCTCAGCATATGGATAATGGCTGGTGCGAAAAGAATTGGCTCCTAGCCAGCGCAAAAGGTTGAAATCCTTCATGATCAGAGGCCAATCTAGGCCTTTGCCACGGATCTGTAGCAGAACAAACACCTTGTTAGCAATGGCTTTGCTGTCCTCATGGTTACAGCTTAACATGGAAGAAATGAAATATACATGAAATATCTCTATATTCTAAAAATAAGAAGAAGAGCAATATATTTCCATATAGGCTAGATTTAATAAGTAGTTTAACGACTGAATTCATTTTATATTGATATTTTTTCTTTTGCCTCATTTCTTTTTTCTCACCTTCAGTTTACTTTAATTTTTGTTAAGATGTGATTGTATTTTACTATACAATCACCAATGATACTTTTTATTATTCCATTAATGTATGTTTTAAAATGAAGTACACACAAATAGGCCCACATTTCAAAAACGTGTTAGCATTTTAGTCTTAACCTTAGATAAGTCCCAGATAATGAACAGAGCCAAGACTAAACAAGGTTTATTAGCTCCTCTTCTTTGGGAATAGCAAATGTTACACAAGCTGACATTTTGTTTTTCAATTAACATTTTAATTTTATTCTTTTAGAGATCAGTGGCAACAAAACAGCCCTTAGGGTTTTGTTTGAGGCCAGAGTCACAGTGGGTTAGGCACAGCATAGAGGTATCTGCAGAGTAAGCGGAGGTGAGAGAGAGAGAGAGAAATGGTAAAAAGCTAAGCTGGCAATTGCAATCAAGAAATCAGAATTCCACTCCTGTTTATGGGCATCATATGTCAATGCATAAAAAACACACCGGTGGCTTTAATTACACAGTCACAGCTGCTGTTATTTTCACCTGTGTATTCATACCCTTGGGCTCCAACACTTGTTTTCAAAACAAGGCCCTACAAGGCACAAAACTAGATGAGCAAAGATCCCACTGCACATGTGGGTCCATTTCACAGACACTTCTGTATCCATATTGTTATGCTGGAGAACAATGACTGCCTAACAATCAGAAGCCACTGTTCCAGAGTCAGGAAACACACTGTAATATTCTTAAAATTATATATGTCTACTATAAATCATGGTCAACAATCCGGGACAAAGTTTTCATTTTTAACAATAATCTGAAATTTGGATTTAAGCAACGCAAGTAGTCTTTGACTTATCACCACAATTGGGACCAGAATTTCCATTGCTAAGCAAGTGAGTCATGCTCAATTTTATGATGATTTTTTTTTTTTTGCCACAGTTGCTAAGCAAATCACTACAGTTGTTAAGTGACTCCCCCCCAGTCATTAAGCTAATCCGACTTCCATTGACTTTGCTTGTCAGAAACTAGCTGGGAAGATCTCAAATGATGATCACAGGACTTCAGGATGCTGCAATCTTTGAAAATGTAAGCCAATTTTCAAACTCCTGAATCATGTGACCTGTGGGGATGCTGCAAAACCAGTTGTAAATGTTAAGTACCAGTCGTAAGTCACTTTTTTTAGTACCATTGTAATTTTGAACAGTCGCTAAAGAATACTTGTCAGTTGAAAACTACCTGTACATTAAAACTAACAATAGTGTTGTGGTTCACCAGCAGCCTGTGCAGACGGCAGCGGAATTGGACAGTGGGGAAGAACGGGGACCAGTCAGGGAATCTGGAGAGGACTCGGACGAGGGTCCTGCGTCCGATGCAGAGATGGGGCCAGGACCATCTGGGAGTGGGGTGCTGACTCTGGAGCCTCCGGAGTCTGGCAGCAGTGAGGCAGAGGACCCAGGGGAGCCCAATGCGCTTGTGCGCAGAGCTGTTAGAAGGTGAGAGCAGCTGAAACAAAAGGGGCTACTCAGGAATATGGCTGGGAGGTGATTGCCCCTCCTCTAAGGTATAAAGGACAGGCAAAGATGATGAAACCTTTGCAGGAAGCAAAGTTCATTCAGTTCAGATTCATTCTTGAAGCTCTTTGTACTTTGGTTGGTTTTTTTCTAGTTCATTTGACACCTGTTATTGGCAGCACTTCACAGAAAAGAAAGATGGGTGCTGTTTGAGATTTGTTAGGAATAACATAGGTTACCTAACGTAGTTTGGGTAAAATAATATATATAAACTATGATAGTGAGTTTATGTGTGTGTCACTTTAAACTGTAAAGCATGTAATTTTGGGTGCGGCTGTAAATCGCCATAAGAGGGAGCAAGAGAACTTGATTGCTTGCTGGCTTACTGAATTGCTTGCTGACGATGATGGATTGTTAACTGCGTGTTCTTTGCTGTTGCTGAAGGAAGAAAAGAGGTTTTACTTCTTCATATCTCTACTGCAAAGAGATATATTACTGGACTGATATTTGTAAGTTTAATGACCTCTTTTTCGACACTGGACTTTGCAACTGATTAATCCCCGGACGGACTGAACTAGTGTATGATATATGGACTGTTTGACTATGCTATAAATCTTACTGGAATAAACTATTTAACTAGCACATTGTATCTGTTTTACTGAGTGTAAGCTACAAAAACGTTTGTCTCACATATTTGCCTGACTGCCGTGCAGGTTCTGCTAGGGTGTATATCCCTAACAAGATTCATTACCTGCTGGGAATGAAAACAATTCCCAGCGTTGCAATAAAATAAGACTTGTTTTTAAAATTAGTGTGTGCGTAATTACGGTCTAGGAAGCCTTGGTCAGAACAAATAGTATCATTGTACTGTATGTCAATTTCTTAAAGAATTCTGGATAAATTGAGGTGGTGGCTTCTCTCTTCTGACCAGCTTTCGAGAAACAGACTGCGTATTGATCCAGCAAAATTGTGACTAGAGAAAAACTGGATTGTGCATTTGAAATTTAGCATATCTAGAAGGAATCAGGCATGATTAGAACAGTGTGTGATTCTTTACGACATAGGTTGAGAACTTCTTTGCACACTGAGTGCTTTCCCAACTTTTTTTAATCTCTTGAAACCTTGCTCATGTGAGAATACCAAAATGTTGTGAGACTTGGCAATCTTGTTCAGTTGAGTGTTAAAAAGGTCTAATTATGAGCTGATGGTGAGCCACACATTCAGGTCTCTGCTTTCATTTTATCGATAGATTGATCATCATTAACATTTACTTTTCTTATCTGCTTTGCCATTCAATCCAGGTTTACTCACATCAGCATCTTCATGTTTGTTGACCCCATGAAAATAGAATGGTTTCCCATTAATCAGAAACTGGTTGCGAGCAACAAAGATGGTTCGGATACCAACTGGCTGCACATAGGTATCTTCAGAGATGGAGCCATCCACAACGGCAGAGAGCGTGATCTGTGTTTTGAAAAGGTCATTCTGGGTCAGTTTTCTGAGGTACAAGTCGATATGACACCTTCCATATAAATCACTAGCCCCAGTTAAAGTAATCCAAGATCATCCATAATCGTGTACCTTGTTTGAATGAGATGAATTAATGTAAAGTACTTTTAAAGACTGGACAAGGGCCAGGAAATTACTCTTATTTTTCACTTTTCAAAGTCTCTGTCAGGATTTCGATGGATGCCCTAATTAATTCATGAGCCTCGAGCTAAGTTTCAAAAGAAATCCAATTATTTATTAGGAGCAACATGTCAGCACTTTACCAAGCGCAGTCGGCTCTGCTCCATGTAATTTACTGCCCACCTATGACCCAGTTTCCCCCTTCCTCCCACGGTGTGTCATAAATCACATTCTCCAATGGAGCACTTTCGAGGGCTGTAGAAAACACACCTCTCTGGCTGGCTCTAGTAACCTGGGATACAATCTGGAGAAAGGAATGTGCTTCTGACCATAGCAACTTAGCTGCTTCATCAGTTCCCCCCTCCTCCTGCCTATGGCAACTCGAAAGCAGGCCAGGAATGCTTTATGAGTTGATAGTCTCATTCAGCTACACCAGAGGTGTCCAACTTTAAGACCTGTGTACTTCAACACCCAGAATTTTTCCTGTAAGTATGGGAAGCTCAAATGGACCTTTAGAGTATAATGCTTGTTTATAAGCAGGAGTATCTGCAGCATCTGGTCAAAAAATCAAAATGGTGGCCACAATGGTACAATCAAAAGCTCCATCTGTTTTTCTATTGCGTTGCACATGAAAAGTGCATGGAGCTTTGCATAGTTGCCATCTTGATGTTTTGATACACCCTGTAGACATCCTTGTTTATAAGCCTTTTGTGGAATCTATATAGTGAACCATAACTCTATGTCAGCCAATCTGCTTGGATTCTTTTATTTATAGGAGCTGGAATTCAAATCTCGCCCAGAAAGCAGGCAGTCTTAAGAATCCTGGGAGCAGACATGCAAGGTACCTTCAAGGAGTAGAGGTAACCAGGACGTTCGTTCATCAAGTAGGGCCACCAGAGAAGAGGATCCATCACTTTCAATTCACCAGCTGACCTGTTTCCTGTTGCTACGGCAATGTGGTCACTATCATACAAAGTCAGCGATAAAAAGTAGTCTGAGCTTCCTCGTACAGACACCAAATAATGAACCAGGCCTGTGTCACAGAAAGAGAGATAAAAGCTTGCATTTGAAAGAAAAAGTGGGGAATGGATGTAGCTCCGTAAAGTGGAGATCTGTTCTGACCAAAGCTTCCTGAGACAGTAACAATGACACGCTTAGTCCCAAAAACCCTGTTTTTATTTCAACGATGATGAGTCCTAAACAATTTGTGAATAGTCCAACAGAAGTCTGCCACAGTCTTTTTGAGATAAGGCTGATAAGTACCTACCTTTATCTCCCTTGAAATGCTGCCAACGACTAAATTGCCAATTAGCTGTACAAGGCCAAACAGAGCCCAAAGTCAACATGGAGCTTCAGAGTTTAAACCAATCAGAACGAACAAAGTTTCTTCCTGCAAAGGCTCATGTCCCTTTGCTCCTCCTTTATGTCTTATGGGAGGGGTCAATCATCTCCAAGCCTTATTCCCAAATCGCCCCTTTTGTCTTAACTGTTCTTGCCTTCTGGCAGCTCTGCACAAGCACACACTGGGAACTGGCTCCTCCTATTCCTCTGCCTCGCTGACGTCAGATTCTGGAGACTCCAGAGTCAGATGGCTCTGGTCCCATCTCTGTGTCGGACACAGATCCCTCGTCCAAGCCCTCCCCAGACTCCAGTACTGGCCCATGTTCCTCCCCACTGTCCAACTCTGCTACCAGCTCCGCCAGCCCCTGGCAGACCACAACAAGATCTCCCTCAAGAGCCCTCAACACCGTCCTGCTTTGCTCCCTCGGCTTCTTACCAACATTTCCCTTCACGGCCGTGGTGACTGTGATATCGTCAATGTAGGCCAAGGGTGTGGTGTAGAGCAAGACGGGCCGGTGAATTCCAGCATAGTTGAAGAAATCAAATCTTGTGTTTTGAACAAAATAGCCCTTTGGATACCTAGGTTGAGGGAGAGAGAAAGGGAGTTAAGGACGTCTTGGAAGGGCGAATATCTGTGTTTGAATAAGAGATGGAAAGGTGTTTTAAGAATTAAGAATTACCCAGAGAAAATGCCTGAGAGTCAATTCAGAGGTCTCTCCTACATGGAGGAATCTACAATGAGGAGCACTCATTGTATGCTATGCTGGCTGAGGAATTCTTGGAGTTGAAGTCCACAAGTCTTAAAATTGCCAAGTTTGGGGACCTCTGCCCTAAAACATCAAGATAGCAACCCCAGCCATATGATCAAGGCCCACTCTTTTTTGGCACTTGTATCATGTGCCATGCTTAAAAGGGGCAGGGTTTGAGCCATTTGGTTGGGCTGTTATCTTAATTTTTTTCTGACACCCCCTTGCCAATGACCCTTTGCCCACAGCTGTCAGGCTATTCCATGGCAAATACATACTGTGGCAAACCCCCTATTTCCCCCACCTAAAATGATCCAATGAACCAGGAAGATTTGTTGGAATCAATTGGAAACGATCTGCCCTTCGAGTCAGAACAGCACCACCTTTGGCTCGTGGCTCATCTGCAAGCCTCAACTTTTTCCTTCTAAAGTTGCTGCTAAAGTTTTTTTTTTTTCCCCAGTTGGATACAGTGGAAAAAAATTGAATCTAAAGATCAAACAAAAATGGGATTCGGCAATTGGGGATTTAAAGTATTTGGGAATTCAGCTATTAGCATTTGTAAGAATGAAAACATCACACCGTAATAACAGGCTTTGTTTCAGCACTGTATGTTTTATTTCTTTGGATTTAGCATGCTGTGCAAACCCAGCTGGAACACAATCATTTCTGCTTTCAGTTAAATGAAGTTTTATTCTGGTGCCAGCCACCTTTTGGCAGCACAGGTGGTCCTTGCTTAATGACCACTCATTCAGCAACCACTCTAACTTGCAACGGCACTGAATACTGAATGAGTGGTACTTACAACCAGTCCTCAGAGTTCTAGCTGGGGCAGCATCTCCAAGGTCACGTGATTGAGATCCAGGTATCTTGGAACCATGTCATGTAGTCAGCATTGGCCATCTTTTTTGATGCCTTCCAACAAGCGAAGTCCATGGGAAGTCACACGTGGTAAACACACGAGGTCCTCACCTAATTACCTGCAGTGATTCACTTAACAATAGCAACCAGGACAAGGTGTCAGTCTTGGCAACTTTAAGAGGTGTGGAATTCAATTCCCAGATGTGTGGACTTCAACCAAAACATTTGAAGTCATGGGGATATCAACTCCCAGAATTCTTCAGCCAGATATGCTAGCTGGGCAATTCTGGGAATTCCATGCATCTTAAAATTGCTAAAGCTGAGAAACGCTACAGTGAATCACAGGGAGCTGTTGAACTTACATGGACTCATCATCCATATACTGAATTGTTCCTGGAGGCAGTGTGTGCGGTGTCAGAGTGTTATTGATTGCAATGGTGATGCGGCAGGGCTCTTTGGGACTCCTATGCAAGATTTCACTGATCTCCACTTCAAAAGGCAGGTGTCCTCCTTCATGCTCAGTGACTTCCACTCCATTCACCCACTGCAAAAGGGAAAAAAAGAGCTCTGAGAAGGACTAAGAAGAAGAAACTGAGAGGCCCATCACCAGGCCTTGTGATATGTTGCCTGTAATACCTCTAAATCAAGGGTGTCAAACTCAAGGCCTGTAGGATGGATCCAGCCTGCGGGGTGCTTAGATCTGGCCTGCAGCGTCACCTTGGAAACAGTGAAGGACCGGCCTGCAGTGCCTCTGCCAGCAAAAATGAAGCTCAGGAGGGCCACACTCCCAGCCATGCCCCCTGGCCATGCCCGTCCTCCACGCCCCCAAGGTCAAACACAACCCTGTTGCGGCCCTCAATGAAATAGAGTTTGACACCCCTGTTCTAAATAATCTTCTGAGAACAAACATATTTTTAATGAGCCTCATATGTCATAGGATCCCCAAAATCTTCACAGATTTAACACTTCCCATAGGGTCTTTTCAAAGTTTTCAGAGGAAATATGAGTTCTCGAGCAGGCTAACATTTCATGAGATTTGACAATATTACAGGATTTTAGCTATTTCAAGCTGTTGTTTGGACCACCATTCAAAGTTGCCCAGAAGCTGATGCAAATGCCTGTTCACCTCTACACCTCTACATTGCTTATTAAGCTTAGCTCAGCAGCAATGTATTCTCTGCACCCAGGATGAACAGCTAGGTCCTCTCCAGGTGTGTTTCTGGACACCTATCAGCCTTATTATGAAAAATAAAATAGTTGTTGTCTAACACATCTGGAGTGTATCTGGTTACTTTATCCATTCAGTGTGCAAATGGGTAGATAACTGTGCAAAAACCTCCTTGTTACATGTTCTCAGACCTACAGATGCACTACTGCAGTTCACTGCCAGGAAATATTGCAATCCAACAGGCATTTAAAAGAGGTTGACTAGAAGAACATAAGAGCATTACTGAATCAGTCTAAGAGAGCAGAACTCATAAGGGCTTCTGAACAGATAATTAAATGGTTATATTCACACTACAGGCTTAACCAAGTCTTGCACAGCAGACTCAACATTTAGCCATGAGTCAATGTGTTATGTTTTAGCATATTGCATAACCTCAACTTGCTTGGTTACCTTACAATTTAATGCGTGTGAACCAAGAAAATGGTTCAAAATAATTTATTTTGAAATTATTTTTTCTGCCATGCGTAAAGGATATTTTTAGCTGGATTGCAGTATACCTATATAGGTACTGTACTCCTCCAGCAGAGTGGACCAAGAAAAAGAACAAAAAGTAATTTTCTTTCATAGCCCCTAGGTGGCGATAGAGACTCACCTCCCAGCCAGTTTTGACATTGTCAAATATATAGTACAGTTATTAGGAAAATCTCCATAGCTGGTGAGATGGAAGAGATGAAGATGTAAAATGCAGCATTGCTATTGTTGCTCAATCATTTCTTTTTGTTATTTTATTACACATTTCTATCTGTGCTGAAAAAAGTTGGAAGTCATTTTTTTTGTCTTTTCATTCTTTGTTTATATCCCGCCTGTATTGTATTTCCCCCCCTCTTTGATTCCCGTTTCTGGTTTTGTTACTTTATCTTTTATCTTTCATTGAAATTTAATAAAGTTAGTCACTGATCTTTGTGACAGGCCTCATTTCACCAGGATTCTCCATCAGAAATAGATTTTTTTTAAAAATATATATATTGTAAGTTCCTCCCTTGATCCCTAGTGATGGCATCACAGAATTTTGAACACCAAATTGCTAACAACAGTACTCACCACAACAGAGTAATAGTGTGCACTGCCAAAACGGAGCACAATACGAGTCCCAGTATCTCTCAGGAGCCAGTGAGCCGGTGGAAGCACCTCCTTCTCGTACCACACCCAGCCAATAAATCTCCGCAACTTTGGATCTTGAGTTATGTCATTGAAGCTGGCAGGGACTGGCATGTCCATCACTGTCCCTGTCTGAAAAGATTGAGACTCGTTTGTGGTGGGAATGTTTTCCAGCTTTGGTGAGCTTCTGCCAATGTTTTTCTGACTCTGGTGCAGTGAGTCTCAACTTTGGCAATGTTGTCTAACACAGTGATCCCCAACCTTTCTTATGCCGCGGCCCGGTATCCCCAATCTTTTTTATGGCCCGGTACCGGCATTAGCTGGGCGCCGCCATCTTTTTTTGATGAAAAAGTGCTTCCGGTGACCTCACCGGAAGCACTTTTTCATCAAAAAAAGATGGCGGCGCCAGCACTTCCGGTGAGCTTTTCCGGGTAGAAATGGCTTTCTACCTGGAAAAGCTCACCGGAAGCGCTGGCGCCATCTTTTTTTGATGAAAAAGTGCTTCCGGTGAGCTTTCTACCCGGAAAAGCTCACCGGAAGCACTTTTTCATCAAAAAAAGATGGCGGCGCCCAGCAAACCAGCGGCCCGGTAGGACTTGTTCCACAGACCGGTACCGGTCCGCGGACCGGTGGTTGGGGACCCCTGGTCTAACAGACTGACATGCTGGAGTTGCAATCATTTTCTTTTTTTCCTGGCATAAAAATATTAAAGATCTGGATAGATATACTCAAAGATTAATGTGACTGTTGACCTGTCTTAAAAAGGCAGAGTGCGGGGTGTGTTTTCAAATATTGCAATCAATGAATATTTGTTTAAAAGAGAGTCAAGATTTTCCAGCTGTAGTATAAAGTTTTCATTTCCATGAGAAGATATGAGTACTTGTGCTTGACCACGAAAGTAGTCCATTCTGATGAATATTCTGTTTTGCAGAGTAGTTAGATAGATTCTACAGAAATTCCAAGAAGTGTTTCTTAGGACTCTCATACATGTCTCAAAGGTGCTTTTCGAAAGGAAACTGGACTGTGTTTTTTCCTTGAGGAAGACAATCCAAGAAGCTTCATAAGAACTAATCCTTCCATCCCCCACCATACCATCAGAACTGATGAAGCTTCTTAGATGAGAATCGAAACGTCTTCTTCCTCAAGGAAAAAACACAGTGCAGTTTCCTTTTGAAAAAGCACCTTTGAGACAACCATGACCTGGATGACTGAGAATCTCCACAGATACTCTCATACATGGTTGCCAATAGTTGTTCCTCATTAGTACACTCAAGACTGAGTTTGTGCATAGTACTGAGCCAATAATATAGTTAGTCTGGATTTAGCATAATAAGACAACATAACCTTGCCTGTATATAAAGCAAGAAAATGATCTGCAGGACATTGTAATATAAATTTGGTTCAGACAACACAATAAACCATGGTGTCATTTTGTTTTTAACCTATTGTGCGAACCGGGCCATGGTATTATCATGGTGTAGCTTACCTCTTAGTTGAAATATGACCCTACAGTAGCTTATTCACTAAACCATGTTTAAACAACTGAAAAATTGCTCTTTTATTTACATGATACAATTTTATATGGCTTCTTATTTTGTCCTTTCTTTGGGTTTACAGATAAAATGGTTTGATATACTACTCCAGTCATTGACTCTCATTTTACTTTCACTTATCCTATTAAGTCTTTTTTATTACTATTTCTTAGCAAGCTTCAGACATGGTCTGAGTAGATTTCCAAAGCTATTCTCCCTCATTTCCAGATCAGATGATCTTTTTCTTTCTTAACTTAGTCCTCCAAGGCTGATTCCTGCTTACTAAGAAGGCAGAAATCACCCTTTTCACTTCGCATGTCAGTGTTTATTTTTTCCCCTCACATGACATGTAGAAACCCCACCTATTTTTGGATGATCTGAACTTTCCTTTCCATTACAAATGAGGATGCTGATATTCAAAGCTTGTAGTCCTTGACTTACAGCTGTAATTAAGCCTGTGATCATGGTCAGAAGTCATGCTGGTCATTAAGGGGTCATCACGTGACTGGGTCCAATTTTATAATCGGTTTTATGGTGGTAGCTAAGCAAACTGACTGCTCACTATGGAGGGCTTTTTGCCAGAAACCGGAAATAAATGCTGATTTCCAGCAAAACCTTTGTAAATTGTGATTCTGCAAATGGGCATAAACTTGTCAAGGCCCAAAATGCGATCATGTGACTGTGGGGGAAGGGGGGAGACTGGCTATTGGGACTTTGAATCTGGGGTTATAAGTACCTTTTTAAGAGTCCATCACAACTAAGCAACTAGTCATAAATCAAGGACTACCTGTTTTTGGCCTCTCCAAAGATCGCAACATACTTTTTTACAAATCCACTGAGGACAGCTCAACTAACTATTACAAGGTAAGACAACTGAAGCAGAATCCGCATGTTGAGAAGCTGAGTTATAGCATATGTGGGGCAAGAAATAAGGAAGGACCATGCCAGTTTTTTATTTCCTACTTATGAGTTTCCCATTCTTTTAAACAACAGTAATAATAATAATAAGTAGAAGAAAGAAACAGAAAGTTGAGGACTGAAATTTTGTCTACACAATGCCAAGCCTTAAAATTAAATTGCATACACAGCTAGAATTGAGAAGGCAGCAACAGACAGCAAATGTGCCTCTGCAAATAAGCTGAAGAAACAGCGGTTAGTTGTTTTCAAGAGGATCACACAGACTGACTAAAAGCAACAGCATGACAAACTAGCAATAATGGTGTATTGGAAGACCTGCAAGGAAATAGCATTTGCCCTGTGGGATCATAAAATAAAGTACAGGTAGTCCTCAACGTACGACCACAATTGAGCCCAACATTTAAGTGAAACATTTGTTAAGTGAGTTTTGCCCCATTTTACGACCTTTCTTGCCACTGTTGCTAAGTGAATCATTGCAGTTATTATTAACATTGTTGTCAAGTGAATCTGGCTTCCCTGCTTGTCAGAAGGTCACAACATGGCCCTGGAACACAGCAAACCGTCATAAATGTGAACCAGTTACCCAGTGTCTGAATTTGATCACGTGACCAAGGGGATGCTACAAATGTTATAAGTGTGAAAAACGGTCATAGGTCACTTTTTTCAGTGCTGTTGTAACTTTGAACAGACACTAAACAAACTGGTGTAAGTTGACGACTACCTGTAATAGAAAATGAAGAAGCTGAAGTGCTCTGGGGCTTTAGAATTCAAACAGACAGGCATGTGCCACATAACGCCCCAGACTTAACAATTGTGGATAAGAAAGCCAAAAAAGGCTGGGTAGTGGATGTGGAAATACCTAGAGACAGCAGAACAGAAGTGAAAGAACTGGAGAAGATTGCAAAATACAAAGACCTACAAAAAGAAATAGAATGATTGCAACAAAAGAAAGCAAAGATAGTATCAAAAGTAATGGTGCAATCCCAAAACTGCAGCAGCACTTGAATATCAATGGCATTGACAAAATTACCATCAGTCAATTGCAAAAAGCAGCTTTACCTGCAATAGCTTATATATCCTGCAAGGATACCTTTAACACTATCTAACAATAACATCTCGCTATCCCAGATTCTTGTGAATAAAATAACAAAAATGAATAAAAATAACAAAATACAGTTCAAACAACTGGCTGACTATGCAACAAACCATAATAACAATTTGTTAGGTTTGCAAGGCTACCAAATCACAAAAATTCAAGGAGGATGGAATGCTGGTCACTACGCTGATCCAATTGAGAAGTTCTGGTATGCTTATTAGATAAGAATAAAATACTATATACACCAATTAATATTTAACTAAGAAAAGGATCAAGTTGCCTTATTATTGAAAAGAGCTTTATTTTTATTTCACTTTAAATTATGATTCTCCCTCTTTCCTTCTGGATATTCTGTTTATTATTTTTTTAACTAATTATTTCATCTATGAAGTTGGTTAACCAGTATGTAGCTTTTCTTGTTAAGTCTGGTTTTATTTTAATTTTGCCCAGGCAGTTTTCTCTCATTCCTCTTTTTGACACTTCCTGTTAAAAGAGGGATATTCATAAAATGTCATAATCAGCAGTTTAGTGCCACGTTGAAGACTAAGAAAATGTATTATGGCACATACTTCCTCAAAACATCACTTCTTTCATCAGATGCTAGAAGGGTTATTATACACATATTAACACAAATGCACCAACAGAGATGTCAGATCAGGCGCTTAAATGCAAAACAAACAAAAAATACACTTTCTGGTAATGACCAGTGTGCAAAAGCATGATTGGTGAAGTACAGTTGTGAGCATTAAATTCAGTTTATATAAGTTTATGCCATTAGACTGTTAGCTTTAAACTGCAAAAACACTCTATACATGTATTGTCCGAACTTTGCACCCACATTCAGGGATCTGCATGCACAGTTCTGAACTGATAATTCCATCCTTGCACTATCCAGGTAGATAATCATCAACCAACCCCATGCTTTTGCTGTCACACACCTGTCGAAGTGGCCGTTTGTACCACTGCTCCACGAATCCTGCATCCCTTTGCTCTGACCAGTCTGCCCTGAAGCTCCAGAGGCCGCTGAGATCCTTCAGCTCTCTGGAGGATGACTCCCGTGGGTAGAGCATCCCACTGTCCAGGGCTCCAGCCGGACACCATCCCAGCAGGACACAGCAAGCACAAAGCAGAAACCTCATACCGCGCCCGCACTCCGCCCGCGCTCTGCTGAGGCTGGAAGGATAATTCGCTGATGCTCAGATCAGCTGATGATTGGCTGACGGTCCTTATTCCGGCAGGAAGGTGATACGTCACTCTGTGCGAGAACAGCAGCAGCCATCTTTGTTGAGGGCAGCCCCGGCTTTCCTGTTTCTAAAGTTGCAGCGTTCAAAAACTGGAGTCAAATCAGGATGTTTTCACAAGTAACGCAGACAGAAGTTTTTCAGCGTGTGGCGCCATTAGATACTTATATATTGTAGCGGGAACTGTCAAGAACGGCTTTTCAGCCTTCAGATTAAATGCAGTGCTGTGGTCCGCAAAAGCTGTGGCCACAAACATTTTCTTCCAAACTTGGGTGTTATTCACGGATCTAACATAGATCGCAGCTGGCTTTAGTACAGAAAGGGACACGCTTTTTTCCCCAGGGTGCGCATTTGACATCCCAGGGCATCTGAACGCATATAGATGAATATTGCAGCTATATTAAAAGGTAGGATTCAAATCTCATTAGCAGAGTATGATATTGAATGGAGTACCCAAGGCTAGCATTAGCAGGCCAGGGCTGGACAAAGACATAGGTAGAGCTAAGATCAAAATGAAATTGATCTGAAGAAAGATAAAATCCCTGGAGTTCAAGCTTGTCTTCTGGTGAAGATGTAATTAATTGTTGTAATAATAATATAGCAGTCCTTTGCTTCAGGATAGGTTTTTTTTTTTTAAAAAAAATTCCTTCACAGCTCCTGGTGGTTTCCCATTCAGATACCATTAAGGTTCAATTCTACTTAGCTTTTTTGGTAAGTAGCCAAAATTGTTTGGATGCTGCCTTTTGTTGTGACAAGTTTGATTTGAATTTCAAATTAATGCATTGTATTTAATGTCATAATTAACATTATAATTTGACAAAAACTTTTAGAGAGGCCCCAGGCTGCCTGCATAGGCTATAGTGCATGATGTGAACCAATTCTGCAATATGTGAATTCCTCCAGTTGTAGCTTACATTTATGCCTATGGTGAAACAACCAAGTATAAATGTGGATGGTACAGTCTTTCAAGTTTTTTTTTTTATAAATAGTAAGTTATTTTCTATTTTCTCTTCTCATAAACATCTCAGCCTATTTAGCACTATGAGAAGAGCCCAGTATGAGAAATGTTTAAAGTGTCTGCAGCGCTACATAAAGTAATGCATTGCCATCCAGTTGGCTGTTGAGTGTTTGATTCTCCTTCCCATCTGGTAAACTGTCCAGGTTTTAATGATTACTCTCCTTTTATTTTGCCCTAGGGTATGCAATCAATTTCAGACAAAGAGTAGGAACAATACAACATTATACGACATGGTTCAGACACAGAGAAGTGGGCAATAGAGTTGAATCCACTCAGTTTTTGGACTGGACCTAATCCAGACCACCAATTACACTTTTGGCTTTGTGGACTCACTTCTGGAAAGTCACAGAATTACTCCTGAAAGGCCTGTCTGGAGGAGGGCAGATTGGCAGTCTCGGGGAGGAATGGACATTTTTGGATACATCTACCAAACAAAAGGCAAAATCAGGAACTCTCCATCACTGATTCCACACCCAAAGGCACCAACCCTGAACCACAGACTAGCAACATATGGAATGCTGGGTGACATTTTCAGATAGAAAGCCACAAGATAAAAAGATGGAGAAATAGTAGATGTGTTGGGAAATACCTGGCATGAGACACCTTTGGTTTTCGGAATCAGAGCCGATTTGCTTTGAACTGTGAAAGCTTTCTTGGAAACCTTGACCCTAAAGATGCTGACCCCTTTGCCCTTTGAACTTTGACCACTGGTAATAAATGCTTTGTCTCCTATGAACAGAATAACTTGGTCCAACAAGGTATTGCTGCTGGTGGTTCTCAGTATTGAACTCCATGTATGTTTTTTATGAGCTGAGATTGGACTCTAATTGTACCTTCCTCATTTATTTTAGCATATTGTGCCAACCCAGCTCATTGTTTGGTTTATACTCAGGATCTCTCCCGCCACCCCACTACTGTAATAATAATTATTATTACAGGCCATTGCACAGTCAGCCAGATGTTCAGACTGGATTTGGCATTTTTATTTGCCTATAAAGTTCTTCCCAAGGACCTGGGATAAGCAGATGTGGATGTTCAATGGTATTGCAGATAATTGTTGCAGGATGCCAGCTGTTCCAATTGAATGGTGTGATGGTTTAGAGGTGGAGTTCCCTCCTCATAATCAGGAGGCTGTGAGTTCAATCCTAGGTAGAGGCAGATAAAAAAAAAACTACTAATTCAGCTCCATTCAGTTGCCCAGACTCCACCTGGCAAGGAATTGTGGGGTCATTAAAAGAGGATGATGTCAGCTGTTCCAAGTAAAGCTGCCTTTTGCAATTGACTGGTGGTGAATTTGTCAGTGCTGACATGGTGTTCAAGTAGTGCACCAATGATTTGGGGATTGCTCCTAAGGAGTTATTATTAGTACTATTTGCCACCTATCTCACCATGGGGCTACTTTTTATTGTAAATAAAAACAAAATGATAAAAAATATTGTTGATCTTGGTTACCGCTATGTATATGTTTGTTATTGATTTGTTTTGTATTGAGTTTTAATTTTAGGTTAGCTACTCAGAGTCACTGTTGAGATGGACAGCTATATAAGTTGATTGAAATCAACAACTACATAAATCTTTCCCAGTGGAAACACCTTTGAAATAATAACTATTTTTTTCCTGCTTAAAACATATGACCCCAAAAAGAAGCATACACAGTTTTTCCTGGAAATCCAATATGCCACTGTATTTATTATCTTGTGATTAAACATACTAAGCAGAAACCTGCAGCAACGGGACAATATTTCCCCACACTCAAAATTTATTCCTTCTGTCTCTTCAGCATCTCCTTCAGATATTCAATCTGGGCGCTCACGCAGCTCCTGGCGGTGCCCCCAGGAGAGGTGTACTGCTCCACGCTATGCTGATGGTTGAAGATATGTGAGATATCACTTCCCATCATGGGGCTGGAAGGAGCATCAAGAAATAGGTTCAGTCAGATATTACAGAAAGACAAGTCTTTTAAAACTTAAAGCTTCTCTTTTCACACATTTTAACTGGCCGAGAAACAGAATGCAGGAGCTCTGTAAATAGGAACAGCTTTCACCTTCAATGGCTCCTACTAGAGCAAGGCTAGGGAATGATGGCTCCTTTATGACCCGTGGACTTCGACTCCCAGAATTCTTGAGCCAGCCATGGGATTCTGGGAGTCGAAGTCCACAGGTTGTAAAGGCGCCATTGTTCCCCACCCCTGTAATAGAGACAATAAGCAGATCGTTGTTAGCAGGGCAGGTGGACTACACAGCCTAGCTTACCTGTAAAGCAGAGGTATACAACTTCACATTCTAGAACAGAGTTTTCCCCATGCTGGCTGAGGAATTCTGGGAGTTGGAGTCTATGCATCTGAAAGTTGCCAAATTTTAAAAACACTGTCCTAGAACAGTGGTGGCTAACCTTTTTGGGCTCCTGTGCTGAAAATTGTGTGCACACTTGCTCGCATGCCAGCTCCCAGAAGGCAATGTGCGCAGCCCCCCCACGCCCTGTGCATGCACGCATGATCCCCCCACCCCCTTACCTGCACTGAGCATCCGCGTGCCTCCCAGCTGATTTTCGGCCTCCCAGAGGCTCGAGGGAAGCCTCTGCAGCCTTTGGAGGCCAAAAAATGGGCCCATTTTGCCACTTCCGGTATTTCCGGAAATACAGGTAATGATGAAAATAGGCCTGTTTTTCAGCTTCCTAAGGCTGCAGAGGCTTCCCTCGAGCCTCTGGGAGGCCGAAAAAGGCCTCAAGTGGGCTGAAAATCAGCTGGGAGCGTGCACATACGCAGTGAGGTAAGTTTGGCTGGGGCTCAAATAGTTCTGCATGCCACCTGTGGCACGCATGCCATAGGTTCTCCATCACGGTCCTAGAATCTGCTGCTGCCTCTCAAGGTTTTGAGTACAGTCTCCTCAGCTCAAACCAAAGTGGTCACTAATTTGTAATTTTTAAGTGCACAACTTAACTTTGCTCAAGTTTCAGAGCAAATAAAATGAAACTGAAGTCAGATTTCTGGCCTGGGTCTGCTATTGTTTTAGACTGCAACCCTCAGCATGCAATTAAAAAGCCAAATGTGGCCCTCAGCCTGGAACACAGTTCATGACTCCTCAGTAAAACCCCGTGAGGTAAGTTAGGCTGATAGACAGTGAGCCTTTCTGTGAACTTTCTGGTTAAGCAGGGATTTGAACATGGATCCTGGTAGTTAATCTTAACTCTACCCCTTTAGCATTCATTACGAAAGATTGGTTACTTTATCCCCTTTATGATTTTACTTATGAAATAGTTTTCATCATTACATAATTAGGTTGTGCTACTATTCAGGAGATAATTTCCATCCCTGGAAAAAAAGATATGGAATTGTGAGGTTCCAGAGGGTCACTGAATATATAACAGTAATTGCATAAGTCTTTAGCATTCCATAAATGTGACATCTCCATATCCACTGCTATTAACTAGAGGTAGAAATATGTCTTCCTTGTTTTCAAGAGTTAGCAACAGCAATAACACTTAGACTTATACATCTCTTCATAGACTTTATAGCCCTTTCTCAGTGGTTTACAGAGTCAGCATATTGCCCCCAACAATCTGGGTCCTCATTTTACTGACCTTGGAAGGATGGAAGGCTGAGTCAACTTTGAGCCAGTCAGGATTGAACTCCTGGCACTGGGCAGAATTAGCCTACAATACTGCCTTCTATCCACTGTGCCTCCAAGCTCTTAAAAGCGGTATCTGCTATAGGAAAACCTTAAAAAGCTCCCATAACCCAATACATACTGAATTCCCTTCAGGTCGTCCATGGATAAATGATTAAGAGTCACTCCTTTGCTCTCAGCTAAATGGACTGCTTTCCCCACAACAGTGTGGGCTTGTCTGAACGGCACCTGGAACACAAGGGGAACAAAATCAGGAGGCTTAAATATTGTTCTGTCTAATTTTTACCCTCAAAAGATCCCCGGCATTCTGAAGCTGGCATTTCAGTGCTGACATTTCCAACTATTTCTGTGCCGTACAGAATGTGGCACAGACATGAAATGCAAAACCCAACGGCAGCACCATTTATGAAGGCTCTTGGATCCCTGCTGGGATATTCTTTAGAGTTGGGCAACCCTATAAATCCATTAAATAAAATAACAGATACTGGAGGAAGGTACAGACTTGTCAGTATAGCCAGCAATTCCTCAGGCTGAACGTTTTCTCCAATATTTCTTCAGGGTGGTAAGAACGGATGCCCAACCCATTTCTTGCCCAGCTACATCCTGTGCCATTGGAGTCATGGTCTTGGCACATGGATATAAGTGAGTGAGTTAGTTATGAATACATGGATACATATAAGAAAAATAAAATATAAATATAAAAGAAACAATAGGACAGGGATGGTAGGCACGTTGGTGCGCTTGTGCACGCCCCCTACAGACCTCTTAGGAAAGGAGTGAGGTCAATAGTAGGCAGTCTAAGGTTAAAGTTTTTGGGGTTTGGGGAAGAAACTACAGAGTCGGGTAGAGTACTCCAGACATTGACCACTCTATTGCTGAAGTCGTATTTCCTGCAATCAAGTTTGGTGCGATTAACCTTGAGTTTGTATCTATTGTTTGCTCTTGTGTTGTTATGGTTGAAGCTGAAGTATTCATTGACAGGTTGGACATTGCAATGTATGATTTTATATACTATACTTAGATTGGACCGAAGGCAGCGTAGTTCTAGGTTTTCTAGGTCTAGAATTTCGAGTCTGGTGGCATAAGGTATTCTGCAACGAGTAGAGGAGCGGAGAATTCTTCTTGTGAAATATTTCTGGACTTTCTCAACTGTGTTAATATCAGATACGTAATGTGGGTTCCAGACTGATGAGCTGTATTCGAGTATTGGTCTAGCAAATGTTTTGTATGCTCTAGTTATTAGTGTAATATTACCAGAGAAAAGGCTACATAAGATTAGGTTAACAACTCTTAATGCCTTTTTTGGCTATGTAGTTACAGTGGGCTCTAGCACTTAGGTCATTTGAGATGAGTACTCCAAGATCCTTGACAGTGTTTGGTTCATCAACAAGGTCTTGACTATTCAGCCTGTATTTTTTTTTTTTGATTTTTTTTTTCCAATATGTAGGACAGAGCATTTATTTGTTGAGATTTGAAGTTGCCATTTGTTTGGCCATTCTGATACATAGTCAAGGTCTTTTTGAAGGGTAGCAGTATTGTCTGTGGTGTTGAATAGCTTTACATCATCAGTGAAGAGAACGCAGTTGCTCTTGATATGATCACAAAGGTCATTTATGTAGAGTATGAAAAGAGTTGGTCCTAGAACACTGCCTTGGGGGACACCACTATTGACAGGTACAGAATTTGATAGGACGCTCCCAATTTTTACCATTTGTTGTCTGTTTGACAGGAATGCTTCTATCCAGTTATAGTCTGTTCCCTACAAGCTTGGATACTCACGCCTTTGCGCACCAAATAGTAAGCAAGATCTGTAGACAACATTTCATGGGTCAGGGCTCTTTCCATGTTATCTCTGTTGATCTAGGCAAATGAATGAAAGAATGGTGAGAAGGAATCATAATTAACACATGCTAAGCTAGTCAAAGTGAATGAATATTTTTAACCATTATTAAAAAAAAAACTCAACGTGACAGTTACATTCAACTTGGCAAAAGCATAATGGGACTTCTGCTCCTTGAGTGTCAAATGTAGTTGTCGGATGGAATAAAAGGGAAAGGTTTTTGGAGATTCAGAGAAAAATATTTAAGCCATTCCAGCCAATAGGATAGCCCATCCTTTTGAAACGCTCACCTGGAGAGTGGAGATAACTCCGGTGGTAACTTTAAGCACAGTGCTCAGGGTATCCATCACATCCATCACAGCTTCCTTATCTTCCTATTTGTAAAAAAAAAGGTTGAAAGAGGGTTACCTAAGAAGATAATGGCTGGTAGGGGAAGAACATCCTCTGGCCCCAACATCTGGTATTTCAGTGCATGTGGAAGCTGATATACAGGTGAAACTTGAAAAATTAGAATATTGTGCAAAAGTTCATTTATTTCAGTAATGCAACTTAAAAGATGAAACTAATATATGAGATAGACTCATTACATGCAAAGCAAGATAGTTCAAGCCGCGATTTGTCATAATTGTGATGATTATGGCTTACAGCTCATGAAAACCCCAAATCCACAATCTCAGAAAATTAGAATATTACATGCAATCAATAAAACAAGGATTGTACATAGAACAATATCGGACCTCTGAAAAGTATAAGCATGCATATGTACTCAGTACTTGGTTTGGGCCCCTTTTGCAGCAATTACTGCCTCAATGCGGTGTGGCATGGAAGCTATCAGCCTGTGGCACTGTTGAGGTGTTATGGAAGACCAGGATGCTTCAATAGCAGCCTTCAGCTCTTCTGCATAGTTCAATCTCATGTCTCTCATCTTTCTCTTGGCAATGCCCCATAGATTCTCTACGGGGTTCAGGTCAGGAGAGTTTGCTGGCCAATCAAGCACAGTAATCCCATGGTCATTGAACCAGGTTTGGTGCTTTTGGCAGTGTGGTCAGGTGCCAAGTCCTGCTGGAAAATGAAGTCAGCATCCCCATAAAGCTCGTCTGCGGAAGGAAGCATGAAGTGCTCCAAAATCTCCTGGTAGACAGCTGTGTTGACCCTGGACTTAATGAAACACAGTGGACCAATACCAGCAGATGACATGGCTCCCCAAATCAACACAGACTGTGGAAACTTCACACTGGACTTCAAGCCTCTTGCAGTGTGTGCCTCTCCATTCTTCCTCCAGATTCTGGGTCCTTGGTTTCCAAATGAGATGCAAAAGTTGCTCTCATCAGAAAAGAGGACTTTGGACCACTGAACAACAGACCAGGTCTGTTTTTCTTTAGCCCAGGTAAGACGCTTCTGACGTTTGTTGTTCAGGAGCGGCTTGACAAGAGGAATACGACATTTGAAGCCCATGTCCAGGATCCGTCTGTGTGTAGTAGCTCTTGATGCACTGACTCCAGCCTCAGTCCACTCCTTGTGAAAGTCCCCAACACTTTTGAACGGCCTTTTCCCTGACAATCCTCTCCAGGCTGCAGTCATCCCTGCTGCTTGTGCACCTTTTTCTTCCACACTTTCCCCTCCCACATAACTTTCTATTAATGTGCTTTGATACAGCACTTTGGGAACATCCAACTTCTTTTGCAATTACCTTTTGAGGCTTTCCCTCCTTATGGGGGGTGTCATTGATGGTTTTCTGCACAACTGTCAGGTCAGCAGTCTTTCCCATGATTGTGATTCCTACTGAACCAGACTGAGAGACCATTTAAAGGCTCAGGAACCCTTTGCAGGTGTTATGGCTTAATTAGCTGATTAGAGTGGGACACTTTGAGCCTAGAATATTGAACCTTTTCACAATATTCTAATTTTCTGAGATTGTGGATTTGGGGTTTTCATGAGCTGTAAGCCATAATCATCACAGTTATGACAAATCACGGCTTGAACTATCTTGCTTTGCATGTAATGAGTCTATCTCATATATTAGGTTCACCTTTTAAGTTGCATTACTGAAATAAATGAACTTTTGCACGATATTCTAATTTTTTGAGTTTCACCTGTACTATGGGGAGAAACTTCTTTTCTACCTTATACAAGGGTTGTCTCCCAGGGTAAGACTCAAAGTCACCTTGGCCTAGTATCCAGTTTCCAGTAATGACAAGATCCTTAGTAAGCTCCAGAACTAGAATATAAACCTCCTCCAAACATGGCAATTCTGATAATAATCATACACAGATCCTCCCCCAATAATGATCACAAGGGCCAAATGTCAGAAAAGCAACTCTATATTTGCTAACCCTCAAGCAATATTCAGTGGCTGCATTCATGTAATCCTTTGAATACGGATATTGAATTAAGCTATTTTCTAGATTTGCACCTTAGATTGCATGACAAACTAACCTGTTAGCCATAACACAGATGCACAAAACATTAATCAACCTTAGCATGTTATGCATGTCTATCTCCTAGGTACAGGGGTGTCAAACTGGTGGCCTGTGAGCTGGATGCATCACACCCAGGCCACACCCACCCAAGCTCTACAAAGGGAAAAAATGTCATGAAACGTCACGTGACACCGCAAGTTTGACACCCGTGCCCTAGGATTTTTTTATCTGATTAAGTATGTTGTGTGAACACAATCTAATTACTTCAGCTTAGACTATCCTAAAAAGGATCTGACTGGAGCAGAAGACATCCTATCTAGGTCAAGACTCTCTGAAAGTGGTAAATTGCCAAAAAAGAAAATTATTTCACAACAAATTAAACTTTAAATTAAACAATGGCAGCTGTCTTTGTTAATAGTAAGAGAAATGGACGTAAAAATGAATTGTGCAGAACAAAACCATTTTGAATTTTGTAAATAAGCCAGGGAAATGGTTGGCAGGAATGTTATCAAATTGGCAAAATCGATTTAGACCTCACAAAAAACACAGATAATTGTGAACGGCTGAAGAATTCTGGGAATTGAAGTTCACACGTCTTAAATTTGCTGAGGTTAAGAAGAAGCACTAGCCTAAGCTAGCCTAGGTGCTATAAGCTCACCAGCTGCTTTGTGGATCTTATCAGCCCAAAGTCTACCTTTATCCCATCCTAAAGAATTGTCCCAAAACCACTTGAATCCAAGCATTGTTCTCCTCTTGCAGCAGGAAGTTAGGAAGAATCACATCTACATAGCCTAAAATCAGCTGAATATGCAGAGAAGCAGCAAATAGAGCAAGCCTTGATGATCAGATGGAAAGAATCCCATCACCATATTGGCAAAAATATATATCAGAAAATAAAATACAAGCTGAATAGTCAAGACCTTGTTGATGATCCAAGCTCTGTAAAGGACATTTGAATATTCATCTCTAATGATCTAAGTGCTAGAGCCCACTGTAACTACATAGCCAAAAAGGCATTAAGAGTTGTTAACCTAATCCTACATAGCTTTTTCTTTGGTAATAACACACTACTAACTAGAGCATACAAAACATTTGCTAGACCAATACTTGAATACAGCTCATCAGTCTGGAACCCACATTACATATCTGATATTAGCACAGTTGAGAAAGTCCAGAAATATTTCACAAGAAGAGTTCTCCACTCGTCTATTCGTTGTAGAATACCTTATGCCACCAGATTCGAAATTCTAGACCTAGAAAACCTAGAACTACGCCATCTTCAGTCCAATCTAAGTATAGTATATAAAATCATACATTGCAATGTCCAACCTGTCAATGAATACTTCAGCTTCAACCATAACAACACAAGAGCACACAATAGATACAAACTCAAGGTTAACTGCACCAAACTTGATTGCAGGAAATATGACTTCAGCAACAGAGTGGTCAATGTCTGGAATACTCTACCCGACTCTGTGGTTTCTTCCCCAAACCCCAAAAACTTTAACCTTAGACTGCCTACTATTGACCTCACCCCTTTCCTAAGAGGTCTGTAGGGGGCGTGCATAAGCGCACCAACGTGCCTGCCGTCCCTGTCCTATTGTTTCTTTTATTTTTCTTATATGTACCCATTTCATGTATTCATAACTATGTATACACTTATACCTATTATCTTGTAAGCGAATGACAAATCAAAATAAATAAATAAATAAATAAATTTACCTGCAGATCCTTGTTATAGGTACTGGGAAGTCCTTTCAGAATCACAAGGAGTCCAGTAGCCTGCAAGAGGTCCAAAAAGCTCTGTTAAAATTCCCAGTTATTCTAGCCCCACTCCAACCGCACAGTTTCATGAATGCTCATTTTCTCAGAAAGCCTGCATTAGCTTCCTTTCCAGACTCCTGCTCCACCCTCAGTTTACATTGAATATTTAACTTTTAAAAATAGGAGCTATAATTGTGTAACATCCTTCCTTCTGTGGGTCATCCCAAAGTTTTTTTTTTTTTCAAAAGGCAACTGGACTTTGTTTTTCCTTGAAGATGTTTCGCTTCTCCACTGAGCCGAAGGGAGAATCCAGGATGGGTAGCCTCTAGTCTCCTAGCTCTGCAGACCGAGTTGAAAAACTGAGGACACCCCACCCCCGGTAACCGTCCCCAGTTCTTCACTCGGTCTCAGCGTGTTCAGACCACCCTTTAAGGGCTCCGAATAGTTAAGATTGTAGAAGAATTGAGGTTTTTTTTTCCCCCTTTTCGAGTGGCTTAGAGCAGGTTTGACAGCTAGTCGGCTTGCCAGTTAGCACTTTTTTTTTTTTTGCTTTTTTTTTTTTGACTGCCTTTTTAAAAAATTATTTGCTGGAAGACTGGTTTTTGGAATTGTGATTGTAAATTTGGTTGGAGGTGCCCCTGAGAGCCTGTGTGGCCCGGGCTGGGAGCATGAGGGTCAGTGTCTTATTCAACTCACTTTCTCCCGGTCCGTTCTTATTGATCTGTGCTAGCTGCAAAAACCACAAGGCGCTTCTGCCCCTTTTCGGCATCGGCGGCCATTTCAGACGTTTAGGGACAATTCTGCAGTTCGACTCCAGGATTGTCCCTTGGGGGGGGTACTGGCCATCTGGATTGAATCCTGACCCCCTGTCCAGTCACCAGAGCACCCTGGCAGCTGTGAGACGCTTGACACTGCCAATTTGATTGCGGTGCAGCCAGCACTGGCTCACAAGCCTCTGATCCGTCAGGGCTTGTAGCAATTTTAAAGAGTCAGCCATTTTTTTTTTCCTTTTTGCTTTGACTCTTGCCTTAAATTACGGAACTGTGCTGAGCTCACCACTTCTGGGTCACACTAGCCTCCTGAAGTGGTGGACAGCTGCTGTGACCAAAGCAGACAGCTTTAGATCAAATAAATTTTGTTTTTATTTTTCTTTTGCCCCTTTTTTCCTTTTCTCTCTCCCTGTCAGTGACAATTATTTTTGGCGGGCTCAAAATAGCCGCCAGGGGAGCTGGCCGAGAATTATCAGCTCCTCAGCAGAGTAGGGAGAAAGTTGCAAGGAGATCAACTAAGTCCAGGTCTGTGGGGCTGGAGGCAGCAGCTAGGATCAGAGCTAGGACCCTAGCCACTAAAAGACCCTGTAGGGCAGAGGATAGGCAGGCCAGGCATAGACAAAAAGCCCTAGATAAAAAGTTTGATAAGGTGGTGAGAGACTCCAAGATGGCTGAAAACAGGGCCATCTCTCCTCTGCTCCCACAAGATGGCAGGAAGCAAAACCAATTGGCAGACAGACAATATTTGACTGCCTGATATCCTGGTGGCTCAAGTACTCAGGATTTGCAGGGAAACCTCCAAATCAAGGCAAAAGCCACTCATAATAATTCTGGGCCACCACAAGGATTTTTGATTGCTGCACCTGGAAGCCAAGCCTCCAGCAGAACCAGACCTGCGCCTGAAAATAAGGCCTGAGGAGGCAAGGCAAGAGATGCCATCCTTCATGAGAGGATCTCCCAAACAATTAGACAAGAATTTCAGGCTTAAATCAACCAGCTGCACCAGCTGCCTGGTTTGGACACCAACAGAGGCGTTCCTCAGGGGCAGGGGCAGGCTTCTGCAGAACAGCCGACTACTTCAGAAATAGTTCTGCATCCCCTTCGGAAAGAAGCCAGTCTTATGTTTCCGAGAGGGACCTCCTTCCAGAGAGGGCTTTTCGGATGGGGAGTCGGAGGTAGCAGGTCCCCCCTCCTTTAAGGACCTTTTCCAGCTGGCTCGCTCCAAGACTCTGCTGGTTAAGGCTAAGAGCATGGTTCATCTTAAAAAAAGGGACAAGGTCACTGGGATCTTCCCCCAGAGGGGGAGGATCAGGAAGATTACATATTCACTGAGAAAGCATCTGTGGTGGACGCTGTACCTGTGCCCCAGACATTTATGAATGTGATTGAAAAGCAGTGGGAGTCCCCTGGGGGGGGTACACTCGCCCCAGTGGGTATGAGTTTACCTTATTTAATGGGTGGCTGTGGCAGCTGCAGGGTAGAATCCCACCTAAGGACCTCAGGGTGCATCAGGACTTAAATAAGATAATAGCCACAGCTCAATCGACA